ATTTATTTCCTGTTATATTTTACATACATTTTTGTAATAAAATTTTATTTAAATTAATACGTAAATAATTAAATAATTTATTTAGAAACTAATTTCAGAACGGTATAAATATGTCAAATAATATGAACGGCATAGAATTCCCTCCCAACGACCCAAATATGAACTACAATGTAACTACGAATAATGTAAATTTTTTTAAATAAATTTTAAAAATTTTGAAAAATAAGCTTAAAAATAGTAGCTTAAATAATAAAAATTTAAAAAAATTCTTTTTAAAGTTCTATTTAACATTTTGGAAAAATGGTATACCGACATTATTTATAATAATTGTGGGTATTCGTTGGTTTATTGCCATGATTGGATTTTTTACAAATTTGTTACTTTTCTGGGTTTTTGCTGTAAATAGGTATTGGAATTTTGAAAATTTTCAGAAGATAATCATGATTTCAGAAAAACATTCCAAGGAACTTGTCATATATTAATTGCCACAAATGCATTAACTACATCCCTGTTTGAACTCTCATTAACTATTGGGTTTATAATGCAATTAATTGGAATACCTTTTGTTAATATACGGATATGTTTAGCTATACAAGTAAATAAATAAATTAATTAAAAATGATATGGTATGATATCCATCTTGAAGGAGGACATAAGCTTGGCAGTCTCCGTTCCCGCCTTCCCAATTTCTAATAATTTCCGTAGTCTCATTTTCGTTTCCCGTATCGCTTGTTTATGACAGATTTTACACAATATTAATACCTGAACTGTGGCCAATTGAAATTTTAGAATCATTCTTAAACTGATTGTCTGAAGGTGTTTTATACTGAGATCCGATCTCAAATTAATTAAAAATATTTTCTAAAAATAAATTTTTATATAGGCATTTCCAATATTTCTTCGGAATTTTATCATCTCCTCGTTATGTGTTATTGCTTTGGATCGTCTTGTGAGCACAGCTTTTATCCCATGGTAAATGAGATTTTTTTATTTGATATTATGATAATTAATTTTATTAATAATATTATATTTATTTAATTATTTAAAGGCATCTCAAGAATGGAGAGACAAGAAGATATCGAATAACTCTCTTTTCATTTTGCTTTATCCATGCCGGATTTTTCATTGCAGCTACATTATACACTTCGATCGAAATGCCAGAACTGTAAGATTTTTGGGGAATAACTTGGACTGTCTATTGTTTGGAGACTGGATTCGGATTCATTTTGGAATCTAGAAAAAAAATCCTCAATTGCTGACAGCCCTCCAAACAATTTTATCAAGTAACAATCATATAAATTTATAGGAAAGACGTCTGTATATCCTCCGATGATTGTTACCAAGGCTGGCTCGAGAATGTTCTTTTTCATATAAATGTAGTCATTCTCCTGTTTGTATTAATCTTTTATATTGCTATCTGGACATTCTTGCGTATTATTCATAAAAGTAATGGTTAGCTAGTTAATGAGCTAATAATTAAAATTCCTCCTTTTAGCAGCTCTTGATTGGACTAAAAGAATCATTAAATCATTAACGTTGACAGCTTTAACAATAACTGGAGGGTGGCTATCCTATAATGCTTTACAAGCTTTTGTATTGCCGGCCTTGGATAATTGGCTTAACCCCCTTCAGATTACCTATCTCTCATTCTGTTTTTCATTTCTCCCTTATATCGCTATGGCTTTAAATGCTCCAATTCTTTTTATATTCAGGCAAGTTCTGCTCTGAATAATTTTTATAAAATTTTTATTCCAGTAAGGACTATCGCATAGCATTTTGCAAGACTTTTGGATTCATTCCGGGAATTGAAAAATTTATTGTCCCTCTAAACCAGTCTAGTATGAAGGTCTATTCAATTTCTCCAACAAAGATGATTGCAAATAACAAAATTAATCCTGCTTCAACATCGGCTCCTCTTTTTGTAAAAAGAGCTTCTTTAAGGAAAGTAGGGATTTGAAAAGAATATTTGGACTATTTTAATTTAAATGATATTTATTTTTATTATTTTATTTTTTATAAATTATGTAGCAAATCATAAAATTAATGAAATCATCAAAAAATATTATTTTTGGAAACTTAATTTAATAATAAAACAATTTAATTAGAACTTGTATTTTTAGAGCCTCACCTACTCTAAAAAGCTCAATTAATAAATAGGCAAAAAATAAGAACAAAAATAAAAACAAAAATAATAATATGGGTAAAATTTTTTTGTGAAGAACTTGAAATTTCATTTCGATTATAACTTTTCATTTTTAAAAATTAAAATTTGAAAATTTATGTAGCTACTACATATATTTTATAATTGATACAGTTATGTTGTAGAACAAATCCGGGTATAGAAAAGAGTTGATGTGGGCTTCGGATCGGTGCTGCAAAAATTTTTTTAAATTTTCTGCAGCTGAACTTCCTTGTCTAAAATTTTTTCTTCTATTTGTCTAAAATTTTTTTCTTCTATGAAAATTTTATTTTTAGATTTTGAATTCTTAATTTTTAAAGAATTATTTCCGAGAAAGACAAATTCCATTGCAGAATATTTTAATTTTTCACATAAAATCGGAAATGGAAAAATTCTATTTTCAGAAATTTTCTTTGGCAGAATTCTTTAAATTTGACTTTTGGAAAATTTTTAACATGAATGGGAAAATTTATCGCTTTTTTGTGATAATTTTGTTACGTAATCGAATAAAAAATCTGAATAAATCTAGATTTGTTGAAATTTTTTTTATTTTTTTATTCCCAGAGGTTTATTTTAAATTTTTAAAAATAAATTCTCACAATTTTATTTTTCAAAACCTATATTTGGCTTTTTTTGTGAGCAATATAAATGGTAAATTATTTCAATTTTCTGTGATTATTCGAAAATAATTTTAAAAATTTATTCGGTTACTCACTTTTTGCGCGGCTAAATGACAAGGTTTTGTGGTACCTTAGCGGTCTTTTTCTAAAAAGAGGTAAAAGGACGGTATCCTCGTGATCCGGGTACGTGAACCAAGTATTCCTCCTATTTGTCGATGAAAATCAAGAATTTCATCATAAAATCCCAGAAGCCCGCGACGAAATCCTTCCTCTACTGCGAGATATTGTGCTATAAATATTGTGTTATAATTGCAATAATTATCAAATTATACTATAGATTTAGAAATAAAAATTAATAAAATTAATAATTTAATAATCATAATAAAATGCAAAATATACACGAATTTCCGCCCAACGATTCAAATTTAAATTACAATGTAACGACAAATGGCGTAAGAATTATTTTTGAATTTTTAGTTAAATTTAAAGATTATTTTTTCAAAGTTTTACTTAACATTTTGGAAAAATGGCATACCAACATTATTTATAATAATTGTGGGTATTCGTTGGTTTATTGCCATGATTGGATTTTTTACAAATTTGTTACTTTTTTGGGTTTTTGCTGTTAATAGGTATAGGAATAATTTTTGCCAAAAATATTGACGATTTCAGAAAAACATTCCAAGGAACTTGTCATATATTAATTGCCACAAATGCATTAACTACATCCCTTTTTGAACTTTCTTTAACTATTGGGTTTATAATGCAATTAATTGGAATACAATTTGTTTATATACGGATATGTCTAGCTTTACAAGTAAATTAATTAAACCCACTATGTTAGCTTTAAGAATACCTCTATGTTCAGACTGTCCCCGTTTCCATACCGACACCCATTTTTAATTACCGATTCTGCCAAGCAAAAAATTGTACCATAACAGATAAAAGTTTAATTCTGGGGATATCACATAATAAATTCCGGCAGTAATTTTATTAAAATTATTCCTAAATTTTAAATAGGCCGTTCCAATATTTCTTCGAAATTTTATCATCTCCACGTTATGTGTAATTGCTTTGGATCGTCTTTTGAGTACAGCATTTATCTCATGGTATTAGATTATCTATTAAATTATCTAATTTAATTTAAAAATTTCTTCAAAGGCACCTTAAAAATGGAGAGACCCTAAAATATCGTGCGGCTCTCTTTGCTTTTTGCTTTATCCATGCAGGGGTGTTTATTGCTGCCACATTATATAGTGCTTACATTATGCCAGACTTGTATGATTTAATACTTAATGCGATAAGAAATATTTCAGAATCACACATCCTTCAAAATTTTTCTCAAATTTAGTGTTTAGGAGATATCTAGGTCCCGCCTTCCGTTAACTGGACACTATCTCCTCTGTCAATATAGCATTACACATATACATATAATATTATTTTTTAATACGTTCAGAAAAGAAGTCTGTATATCCTCTGATGATTGTTACCAAGGCTGGCTCGAGAATGTTCTTTTTCTTATAAATGTAGCCATTCTTTTGCTTGTGTTAATCTTTTATATTGCTACTTGGACATTTCTTCGTATCCTACATAAAAGTAATGGTTAGTCCTCTTGACCGAAAACTAAACTCCCTTCTTTTCAGCAGCTCTTGATTGGACTAAACGAATCATTAAATCACTAACTATTATCGCTTTAACGATAACTTTAGGATGGTTTTCTTATTATGCTTTACAAGCTTTTGTGATCCCGATATGTGAAAGATGGCTTAAACCTCTCCACATTGCTTATTTAACATTTTGTTTTTCATATCTACCATATATCGCTATGGCTTTAAATGCTCCCATTCTTTTTAAATTCAGGCGAGTCTTGGTTGATTTTAATAATTTTTATGATATTTCAGTAAGGACTATCGCATAGCATTTTGCAAGACTTTTGGATTCATTCCCGGAATAGACAAATTTATAGTGCCACCAAGCACTATGAAAATCGTTTCTGTATTACCAGCAAATGGATGTTCAAAAATGACTGGTTCCCAATCCTCTACACTTTTTGTAAAAACTAATTCTGTGAAGCCATTTCAAGCTTGGAAATAAATATGCTAAGATTTATACACTAGACTGATTATACAACATTTTAATAAATTTTACTGATACATATGTACTAGAATTTTCAAAATAAATTTTTCTTTCCTCAAATTCGTTCAATTACACAATCCATTAGAAGCACATCCAGTGCTTCCACAACCACTACATGGTTTTCCTTTTTTGTAAATAACTTGTCCGAGATAATTCCCACTAAATATTAAACTGATTTGTTTAAAATATTTAAATCTAACGGTGGATTGTATTGACAAACAGTATAGGTTTTCCAATCAGAGTTTGGGCATTTTGCTACACCACAACCAATTTCGGTAGTTTCTGCCCAGGCCATTTGTGAAAAATGATTATAATGATTCATATCAACAACTAGGCTAGATTGGAATCCATCATCCTTCAATTCTGCCCACCAGAGTTTACAAGCTTCTAAAAGAGCATCTTCTAAAATTTTAATAATGGAAATTATTAGCATAAAATTTAATTAAATTTAAATTATTTCAAGGTCACTCAATTTCGAAATTAAAATTTTAATTTTTTTAATATGGTTCTGCTCAATTTGATGCTTGAGATAGTAAGAGCAAAGTAAAAGTTTAATCCCAGTCAGGATCCGATCCTGTGACCTCCTGCTACCCTTTTGCTCTCCATCCAATTCAGAAATGCTTGGATATTTAACTGAGGGTATCTAAATTCGAGGTTCTACACTACAAACTTGTAGCCATGTTTGGATCACTATTCATAGCAAGATTCTCTCCGTATTTACGCTGATTGCTTGGAGTATGACTCATTTTACATTGGTTTGCCCAATTAGTAGCACTAGTTTCCACAGTTTTTGAATAAGTCAGCTTTTTAATATTCATTCCTTGGGGCATCATTCCAGTCTTGTTTTGCTCCTTTCCATTAGCTAGCGAAGCCCGGAAGTTATTGTGACAATCAAGGATGGCATTTTGTTCATCAGGTGATAAAGCATTAATTTCTATTTAATCAAAATTTTGTGTGAGAATGAATTTATTTTACCTATCAGAATAATTAATGCTGTGATAGAGAGTAGAAATAAGTTTTGGCACATTTTCTGTTCCTAATTAAACGGGTGATTATTCAAGTAAAATCAAAAAAGGTAAATTTAATGGTGAATTAATAGAATTTACTATCCTTTATAAGCTTAAAATTTATCGAATTTTATAAACTTTACAGCTGGAATTGAACAAACATTCAAGAATAGATGGTACGTTTCTTTGTTTGAGCGAGAGAAACCGGAAGTAAGAGAGAAACTGAAATTTAATTTAAATTCTCACTTTTTTATGAAATATTGCTTATAATAAATAGAGAAATAGACAAATTTAAAAAAAAACGGAAATTTCCACCTGTCCTTAAGTAATTAATAAACTTTCTAACCGATTGCCAACAATAATCTCGCTAAATTCAAATAAATTTTGAGAACCACTAAGTTAGCTTTCAATTTTGCCACATCCCCATATATTCGCAGGATATCTTTCTTATTATTTTTAATATGTACCAAAGGTGGATCGGAAATGACAAAGTTGCCTGAAATCGGAACTGACGGAAATCGGAAATGGCTCAAAAGTAGGAATTCCGACTGACCTCTGGTATGTAATACAGAATGGTCTGACTTTTTCCTTTCCTAAACATCACTCAATTTTCACTGTGGCATGTTCAATGAGAGACATGAGAGACACTTTTTTAATGAGAGACTTTCAATTATAATTAATATTATAATTAATAAGTTCAATTATAATTAATATTTTACTATTCAATTAACAAATAAATATTTTATCAACAATTATAAATATTCAATTTTACGAATAAAACTATTTACGCTATCATAACTAAATATATCTATTCATAATATCAGTTCAATTATTACATAATCCATTCGAACAACCTTTGCTTCCACAACCACTACATGCTTTTCCTTTTTTGTAAACAACTTGTCCAAGATAATTTCCACTAAAAATTCAGATTAATCTAGCCAAAAAATTCGAAACAAACGATTTATTATATTGACAAACAGTATAAGTTTTATACGGCGCATTTGGACATTTTGCTACCCCACAACCAATTTCGGTAGTTTCTGCCCAGGCCATTTGTGTAGCATGACCAATATTAATGAAATTATTTCCGTTAACAACTAGACTAGATTGTATTCCAACTTTTTTGAATTCCCCCCACCAATTTTTACAAGCTTTTAAAAGTGCGTCTTCTGAAATTGTAGAGAAAATGTTTTTGTATATTTAATACTCTTCAAGGTCTCGAATAATAAATAATTTTTGGAGCCTTCTGGTTTGCCCAAAAGGCTTTAGCCACCTGGGCAAAGGAAGGGCACATTGTTACGGCTTGGTAAATGTATTAGTTACTGTCTTGCCAACTCAATAGTTATCCTTAGTGAAATAATGTTTCAAGGTTTAGTTGACTGAATATTCCCGCATATTTCCATTTCACTATGAGATATGAAAATATTACTTGTAGTTATCTTTGCGTCACCATCCATTGCAAGATTCTCTCCGTATTTGCGCTGATTACTTGGAGTATGGCTTTCTGTACATTTGTTTGCCCAATTAGTAGCACTAGTTTCTACAGTTTTGGAATAAGTCAGCTTTTTAATATTCATGCCGGATGGCAACAATCCAGTCTTGTTTTGCTCTTTTCCATTAGCTAGGGAAGCTCTAAAGTTGTTATGACAAGCAAGAATGGCATTTTGTTCCTCAAGTGTTAAGGCATTAATTTCTATGAAATAAAAATTTTGTGGGAAAAAAAATTCACATTTTTACCTATCAGATTCATTAATACTATAACTATCAGTAAAATTAAATTTCGGCACATTTTTAAATTTAAAAAATATAGGTATCTAAATATTATTGAAAGTAAAGATTTCAAAAGATATTAGAACAATGATCTAATTTTTAGCATTTTCAGCTAACTCATTGTCTGAAAGGATATCAAATTATCCCCATCTATCCCTCTGTGTAGGATCCGTTTTCGCTTCCGCAGAATTCCGCCTTTTCGAGCCTTCTTCGAGTCTCAATGATAATCAAAATGCTTATTCATTCAACCTCGAATGCTAATATGTAATTGGGATATATTCATAAATTTAAGAAAAAAAATTGGCTGTAGTGTAGTGTACCGGTGGTAAAAGTTCGAGACGTGATATATGTCATTCGATTCGTCTCGACGAGCTGAGTCGAACGGTACCACTCCCTATTTTAGGAAATAATTCTGGACCGAGTTATAGGTCCCGGAAAAATGAAAAACTATAGGGGGGAGTAAGCTCGATTTTGGGGTGAAAAATTCGAATATGCAAATAATAGCTCATTCGAAAGAGCTCCTCGATCTGAGTCGAATGACACCAAAATCAACGAAATCTGACTTGATTTGACAAAGTTATGAGCATTTGTTTAAGCTCCTTACCTATGGCGCCCGTGGAGGTTTTTGATGCTACTGGAGCCCCAAGTACATCCAGAGCAAGGGAGATGGGACTAGGTCTATGTTACGAGCCCAGACCCACCGCCCGTAGACTCCCCGCGAGGCGCGTGCCGCAAACCCCCGCGCGAAGCGCGGGGGTTTGCACAAGCGCCTCGCCGACGCCCCATAGGTTTAGGTTTTTTTGTATCATAACTTTGTCTAATTTTGTTCAATCACGGTGATTTTGGTGTCATTTGACTCAACTCGTCGAGCTCTTTCGAATGAGTTATTATTTGTATAAAAAATTTTTTATTCCAAAAATCGCCCCTTTGGATCTTCAATATTTAGGGGCCTATATCTCGGTCCAATCAAGTCAGATTTTGTTGATTTTGGTGTCATTCGACTCAGCTCGAGGAGCTCTTTCGAATGAGCTATTATTTGCATATTCGAATTTTTCACCCCAAAATCGAGCTTACTCCCCCCTATGGTTTTTCAATTTTCCGGGACCTATAACTCGGTCCAGAATTATTTCCTAAAATAGGGAGTGGTACCGTTCGACTCAGCTCGTCGTGACGAATCGAATGACATATGTCACGTCCCGAACTTTTACCACCGGTACACTACACTATATCCAAAAAATTAAAGTTAGTAATTGAAAGATATTGATGCTTGAGTTCTTAATAACTTAATCATTTTATACTTTAAAATAGCGAATTTTATAAAGTTTTGCATCTGGATTAAGCAAATATTTGATCCAAAAAAGTTTCAAAATATCTTAAAACTTCAATAATTAAATAAACAAGATTACCTTATTCTAGGTAGAATTATGCACTTTTGTGGGATATCAGAAAATAATAAACATTTTTTATCAAAATTATTTTCAATAACAGTCAAAATAATTTTTTGAAAATTTATAAACGAACTTTTCCACCTGCCTTTAGCCAAACAAATAAAAAAATATTGAAATAAATTTTAATATTTTATACTAATATTTAAAATAAAATTAAGAAATTATTAATTAATTTTGGGTAATATTTCAATCAAAAATTAATGCCAAAGTGCAATTCTATGGGCTTTTTCACTGTTTACTTCTCAGAGGTTTTCTATAAAGTACAAGTAAAATTAATTAAGAATTCATTAGATACAAAAAATATTTTTCAAATTTAATGAAATGTTTGGAAAATTAAAAAAATTCAGCTTGTGTTCCTGGTATATTCTTGTGTTCCTTATAAAAGACAGGTGTTTTATCAATTTAAAAAATATATAATGTCAAGTATACTTAATTGAATTGTATCTAAATGGACAGGTGAACTTGGTAATATAAGTATAATCAACAGGAAATACAGAATCCGTTATGAGGTAAAATATACCACCGATATAAAGAGGGTGACAAATTGAGTGAGGGTGATAGTGAGAGGTGGTATTGGGGCGTGATAGTCTATTTTTTGCGAAGATATAAAGAAATAAAATATCCAGAATCCTAAAAGCTTGTTCATTTCTGTGTATTCGTAGTACTGGAAGTAAAAGCCTGTTTAGGGATAATCATGACAGCATTATTATTCTCCTTGGGTAAGCAACAAATTATTCGAATTAATTTATAAATGTGTGAATGCATCATTTCAGAAGCCCAAAGAAGCAGAAATGCAGGAATGGCAATTGTACTGACATCGTTGACCAAGGAATATTCGTTGTATACTGTTAAGAAAATTAGTTCTGCTAAATCTGGGTCTATCAAATTTTGAAGTTTAAAAGCAGCAACGTAAAGAATTAGCTGAAATAAATATATTCCCAAAATTATTCAAATATCTCCAATTTACCATATAAAAAGTATATAAAAGTTGCCCAAAGAAAGTCAAAATCGAGTAAATTGTCAGCCGAGATTCCATCTTTTGCTTGCTATCAGTCTGTTGTGAACTAACAATTTTGGTCTTTTTATAGACAAAAAGGCTGGCAAGATTAATTGCCAGACAAGCAATTGTGAATATCCCCGAAAACTCTGCAGCAATCAAAGGGTCATTTGTATCCTGTAAATTTTTTTATAAAAATACACTTTGCCAAAAAAATTTTTATTTAATTTTAAAATTATTACATCAGACTTCATTTGTGTAAGCAATGTAAACGTTGCATTATCATCATGAACCCAAATAGTTATATCTAAAAATACAATATGCCAAGTTTGTGTTAGGGGAAGGATGTAAGCAAGAATAATTGCCCAGTACCATAATTTCTTCCAAATCTGAATTTCAATGTTAATTCAATTTGGAATCTCATATCAGACCCTTTCATACTTTAGTGGCCACACAAGAGCTGTCAGTCTATTCAATAGAAGAGTAATAGTACACGTTCCTTCTACTAGGTAGAAATAGGCTGTCATAAAGTAAAAAATAGCCAAATAAACACCAGGCAATTCTAGATAAATTGAAAGGAAAAGACCAACACGTCCAAAGCGTGAATACAAACATTGGCCGATTAGTCCCAAAATGCTCTAAAGATAAGTTTTGAAGGGGTAATTATTTCCGTTTAATTAACCGATATAGTTCTAGCAGCAAAAAGTTTGAAGAATGAAGATTTGAATGCTTTTTTGAAACGAAAAATCACCCCTAATTCGGTCAAGTAAAGAATGGTTGAAGGTACAACAATTAATAAAGCAATTATATTTGGGGGAATTACAGATTGGGAAAGTGTATTGAACAAATTAAATATCCATGTTGTGTTGCTCATATTGAAACAGATTTTATCACTCAATAACGCAGTGTCTTAAGTCATTATAAAAATTTATATAATCATTTTCAAGGCTCTTATGGAGGGTGCTTATTTTATAAAGTGTGTTTCTGTTAGAATGTGGTTCTATTAGATTTATGATAATAAAATTATTACATTTAAATGAGAATTAAACTCGTTAAAATAATTTTTATTGACACTGAAATATGTAAATTGTTTTAAAAATTCAAATGAAACTAAGGCAAAATTTAAAAAAAGGAGTAAATAATTTTTATTATATGTCCAATGTATTAATTTATTTCAATATTGGACAGATGTTTTAATTATTTTACACCTGCTTATATTCGTATCTGTCTTAAAAAATTTTTTTTTTACTTTTTTTTTGTAAACAAAAAAATTTTTGCGTAAACAGACTATCATAAGTTTCTTTGGTCTTGATCTTGTGAATATTAAGCATAACTTTACTGGCATGCATGTAGAAATGTATTTTATTTTCAAAGAAAAAGCTTAAAATAGCTCGTTTTAAAACAAATACGATCAGAATCAACCGATATAGTATCAGTTCTGGAACTAAAATTTAGTCTCATGTCACGACATTATAGCCGCAAAATAAACATATCAAATTGATAATAGAGCCAAATAGTTTAATATTTTTATTCAACAGCGATAATTCTGGGGTAATAAGTACGAGGAAGGGTGAACTTAGATGATTCTGTAGGCTTTAGATGATTTTTGTAGGCTTTATATAGTTCAAAAAAAAGCTTATACACCATTCATGGATAATTTTTATAAGTATAATACGTACTAGTAACTATTTTATAATGTGAAAATAAAATTACAATTAAATACATAAAAATGGAACAATTTAGATAATGAGATCAAGAGTTTGTTTGTTTCAGTGTATTCGTAGTATTAGAAGTAAATGCCTGTTTAGGAATAACCATAACTACATTGTTATTCTCTTTGGGTAAGCAACAAATTATTCGAATTAATTTATAAATGTGTGAATGCATCATTTCAGAAGCCCAAAGAAGCAAAAATGCAGGAATGGCGATTGTACTAATATCGCTGACCCAAGCAAACTGATTGTAGACTGTCAAGAAAATTAGTTCTGCCAAATCGGGATCTATACCAAAATTTTGTAGCTGAGAAGCAGAAATGTAGAGGATTATCTAAAATATAATTTCTCCAAGGTTATAAAATTAGCTCCAATCTACCATATAAGAAGTGAATAAAAGTTGCCCACAGAAAGTTAAAAACGAGTAAATTGTCAGTCGAGCTTCCATCTTTTGCTTGCTATCAGTCTGTTGTGAGCTCACGATTTTTGTCTTCTTATAGACTAAAAGACATCCAAGATTGATTAATAGGCATATAATTGTGAATGCCCCAGAAAACTCGGCAGTTAGTAAGGGGTCATTTGGATCCTGAAATTTACACGGAAATACAATGTTTACTTTTATTTTAAAATATTTAAAAATATTACATCAGGCTTTGATTCTGTAAACAAAGTAAACGTTGCATTATCATCATGAACCCAAATAACTACTTCTGAATTAAAAATATGCCAGGTTAGTGTTAGAGGAAGTATATAGATAAGAATAATTGCCCAGTACCATAATTTCTTCCAGATCTGAATTTATGCTTGTTTTAAGCCTAAAACCTAAATTGACCTTTTCATATTTTAAAGGCCAATAAAGAGCTGTAAGTCTGTTCAAAAGAAGAATTGCAGTAGCTGACCCTTCCACATAATAGAAATGATTGGCCATAAAAGTAAAGATAATTAAATAAACACCAGGCAATTTCAAATAAATTGAAAGGAAGAAACCAATACGTCCAAAACGTGTATACAAACATTGGCCGATTAGTCCCAAAATACTCTAAAAAAGTATTTTAAAGAGTTAATTATTTTTGTTTAATTAACCGATATAGTTCTAGCAGCAAAAAGTTTGAAAAATGAAGATTTGAAAACTTTTTTGAAACGAAAAATCACTCCTAATTCAGTCAAGTAAAGAATGGTTGAAGGTACAACAATTAATAAAGCAATTATATTTGGGGGAATTACAGATTGGGAAAGTGTATTGAAGAAATTAAATATCCATGTTGTGTTGCTCATTCTTTAAATTTATTAAACTCACGGAAATATAATTTTAATATGAGAATGTTGGTATAATTAATTTGAGACAATAATTTAAAGGAAAATGCAATTTTTCATTTTTTACACAAGCTTATAATTTAATAAATTTTTAATTTAACTTTTTATTTACAAAATAGAATTATAAATATTAAATTTCCAAGTTTAATTAAATTTGTCTAATAAAAAGTTAATTTAATACAAAAAATTTTTAGTTCACAAGATTTCAAGGAGGAAGGCGGTCAAATTTTTTAATTATTTCCTAGTCCAAAGTGTCATTTTAACAGGTGTTTTACATCGTTTACAGCTGTTTAAGTTCATAATTTTTCTGATTTTGTGTCAACAAGACAGGTTGAAATTAATTAAACTATTCATTCATTGAGAATAATAGAATTAATTTTCTCACGAGAGGGTTGGTTTAAGGGTTTTGGGGATTGAGTGGGCGAGGCGCAGAGGACATAATTGGTCCTCTGAAATTACTCTTTAATTGTTTCGGATTTTAGAGCTATATTGGCATTTTTTAGTAACAATTAGAGATCGGCCAAACAAATATTTGGTCAAATAAAATCAAATATTTGATCAAATTTTATTTGAATTTATTTGATCAAATATTTGTTTGACCACTTTTTGGAAAAATTTGATTTTTTCAAATATCAAATAATTTTCAAATAATTTGATCAAATATTTGTTTGATGAGGGTCAGAAAATTCAAATATTTGATCAAATATCAAATAATTTGAAAATTATTTGATTTTCGTATAAAAATGTAAAGTTGGCATATTTTTCTTAGAATAACGATATGGTAACCGAGATTTTCGCTCAAGACAAATTATTTGTGATAGCCAAAATAGTTTTTCCTGGTCATGAAACCGGATTTTGGGTTTTGTCGGACCGGATCCGGCCTGATTCCAGTTTTAATCCGTAAAAATAATTTTTGGAGTCAGTCAGAATATACCAGGATTCCGGACCGGAACTGTTGTTAGCGGGGATATCTAAATATTTTTAAGGACTATAAAGGATACTGGTGGATTTGTGGGTAGCAGAGGTGGATCGGAATTCCGATTTCCGACTTCCGATTTCCGAGTTCCGACTTTTGAGACAATTCCGATTTCCGCTCTTCGGATTTCCGACACCTCTGACTGTTCCGATCCACCTCTGGTGGGTAGTAAAAGGGATTAAAGAAGATACAAAATTCCTTCTTTATAGAAAAATAAGAAAAATGTTAATTTGGTTGGATATCATGTAAGTTGGATGGATATCGACGGATTGAAGGATTTTTGGATTAAAAGGGATATAGGGGGATTTGTGATGGATATCGAGGGATTAAGTGAGATATAGATATTCTAAGTGTCTGATATCCATATTTCAACTATTATCCCTATATCATTTCATAGCCCATTTAGCACTCCTCATCCCCTTATATCCCCGTTAAGCCTTACAATTCCCTTATATCACCCTTAATCCCTACACATCCATCTTAATCCTCCGATATCATCCCCATATCCTAATATACTCCATATACTCTCAAATACCCCGATCTATATGTTATTCCAAAATTTTTAAAAAAATTTGATATTTGATCAAATATTTGACTTTTGGTAGAAATCAAATTTTTTCAAATATCAAATAATTTTCAAATTATTTGATCAAATATTTGATTTTGCCTTCCGGCCGATCTCTAGTAACAATATAGCGCAGATTTTTAACTTTTTGCTGTCTAATAATCCTAACACTATTTATAAATAATAACTATTTTATACAGAGCAAAATGAAAATCAAATTTATATCGATAGAAAAATTTAGATAATGAGATCAAGAGTTTGTATGTTTTGTAATCATAGTACTAGAAGTAAAAGCCTGTTTAGGGATAACCATAACTACATTATTATTCTCTTTAGGTAAGAAACAAATTATTCGGATTAATTTATAAATGTGAGAATGCATCATTTCAGAAGCCCAAAGAAGCAAAAATGCAGGAATGGCAATTGTACTGATATCATTGACCCAGCAAAGCTGATTAAAAACTGACAAGAAAATTAGTTCCCCTAAATCTGGGTCTATATGAAAATTTTGAAGTTGGGTAGCCGCAGTGTAAAGAATTATCTGAAATTTAATTTTCGAAAATCATTCAAATATCTCTAATCTACCATATAAATTAAATATAAAAGTTGCCCAAAAAATGTCAAAATTGTGTAAATTGTCAGTCGGGCCTCCATCTTTTGCTTGCTATCAGTTTGCTGTGAGTTCACTATTTTTGTCCTCTTATAGACAAAAAGGCTAGCAAGATTAATTAACAGGCATATAATTGTGAAAAACCCGGAAAACTCCGCAGCAATCAAGGGGTCATTCGGATCCTGTAAATTTTTTGATAAAAATACAGTATGCCGAAAATTACATCAGGCTTCATTACTGTAAACAAAGTAAATGTTGCATTATCATCATGAACCCAGATAACAACTTCTGAAAACAAAGTATGCCAAGTTATCGGTAGTGGAAGGATATAAGCTAGAATAATCACCCAATACCATAATTTCTTCCAAATCTGAATTTCAAAATTAATTGTATTTGGAATCTTAAATTGGACCCTTTCATATTTTACTGGCCATAAAAGAGCTGTCAGTCTATTTAGAAGAAGGGTGGCAGTAGACGTACTCTCCACAAAGTAGAAATGATTGTTCATGAAATTGAATATTGCCAAATAAATTCCAGGCAATTTTAGATAAATTGAAAGGAAGAAACCAACACGTCCAAAACGCGAATACAAACATAGGCTAATCAAACCAATGATACTCTAGAGAAAAATTGATACTTGGAAAGATTACTTTCTGGGGGATTTTAGAAAGAGATAAGCAAGGATTAGCCACCGGGCAGGATTCGAACCTGAGAAATCCTGCCAGTTATTGCCAGGCACTTTCGCTCACAATATATAGGTTCTCTACCACTGAGATACCGAGGCCCTCGAAAGCTTTTTCGCATCGAGAGCAATGGCATCGACTAACTTCCTCTTTTATCCCTTTCATATCTTTACAGTTATCAAATTAGTTTAAGAAATTAATCAACCGATATAGTTCTAGCAGCAAAAAGTTTGAAGAATGAAGATTTGAAAACTTTTTTGAAACGAAAAATCACTCCTAATTCAGTCAAGTAAAGAATGGTTGAAGGTACAACAATTAATAAAGCAATTATATTTGGGGGAATTACGGATTGGGAAAGTGTATTGAAGAAATTAAAGATCCATGTTGTGTTGCTCATTTTTTAATTTTATCTCATTCTTATCTCATTCTCAATTTCAGTTTTATTAAACTACATAAACTATTAAAAAACTGAGCTTTTTTCTTAATAGCTCATTTTTTTAAATAATTTTAACATGCAAATATAAGTACAATTTCGGCATACAAAAATTATATTTGTTGGAATTATTCAGTCGGAAAGTGTATTTTAAAAAATTAAATAATAAATTTATATGATAATAAATAAATAAATTCGTCAAATAAAAATTTAATTTAATAATAATAATAAAAATTTTTTTGCCTAACAAGACTTCAAGAAAGATAGAAGGCGGTTAAATTTTCTAATAATTTTCTAGTCCAATGTATTAATTTAGTTAGCTATTTAACAGGTGTTTTACATCGTTTACACCTGTTTAAATTCATATTTTTTCTGATTTTGTGTAATTTATATTCATCAAGTTAGGGGAAAACTAATTAAATTATTTATTTATAATAATAAAATTAAATTTCTTATAAATATATACAGCTAAAGTGTGAATATTTTATTATAAAAAAAGGACAAAAAGGAGAAAAAATTATTAATTTACCGTATTTTCTCGATTAATTTTTCATTTTAATAATACAGGGTGCGGCAAACGTTCCCATACTTTTATTAAGCATAAATTTATTTCAAATATTTTCTTAAATTTTATAAAATATATGAAAAAGTGTTCATTAATATCTAAGGAAAAGAATGATTATAACAAATTTCCAAGATGTTTTCAAGACCAACGTACCGCTCATCTAACACAGTGCCGAGCAGAGTTGGATCGGAACAGTCCGAGGTGTCGGAAATCGGAAGAGCCTGAAATCGGAACTGGCTCAAAAGTCGGAACTCGGAAATCGGAAATCAAATTTTTTTCGGAAATCGGCAGATCAACGTACCGCTCGTCTACCGCAGTGCCGAGCAGTGTCTATAAATTTCAGATTTACTTGTATTCGTACTCGTATTTTGTACTTCGTACAGCTTATTTTTTTGTTCGTACTCATATTTTGTACCTAGTACGAGTACGGACTTTTGTACGAGCTTATAAACACTGGTGTCGAGCCTGTTATGGTCCGATGCAGTTGATTACCTATGGCTTCTGGATTCGACATGTTTGAATTAATTATGGGAGTTCGTTGGGGTGTGCCCCAGAGAGACACTTCAGGAAGTAAGCAGAAAGATATATTAAAAATATTATTAAAGGTGTCAATTAAATGCGTTTGTTGGATTAACAATTCTCGCTCGAATAATTCCCGATCCCACGGAGTGCTTGAATATCAATTTCCGGGAGAAATTAATCCAAAAATGCGGTAATTAATTTTAATTACCTTATTATTAAAGTTAAAAATCAACTGTTTAATTGATTCTTTAAAATTTATTTTAAAATTTTAAATCTGATGTATAATCTATTTTAAACTTTCTCATATGATTTTAGCTATTCATATGATTTTCCTCTTCATAAAAGGCAGGCAGTACTTTACCTAATTATTTAATTTTAATTTTTAAATTTGTTTAAATTTAAATTATGAAAGTAAGTCTGTTTACTTGTTTTATTACAACATTAATTGTTGGATGTTTTGTTTCCAAGATTGGTAATATTTTTAAATATTATAGTAAATCTAACTTTCAAATTCATACACTGCTCCACATAATTATAAGTCCACCCCTTTTCTCGGGATTTTTTGACTCCCAGTGATCCAAATTTTCTGGAAATTTAGAAACACACCTTTTAATGAATAACTAACAAGATGTGATTCGATTTTTGGCTGAATTTTTATTTAAAAAATTTTTAGACCAAAATTTGCGTTTTCGGCCTCCACAAAATTATAAGTCCACTTTTTAAAAAAGATATTTCCAAGTTCAGGAAAAATCTACAAAAATTCTAGCAAAAATACATAATGATATTATGAAAAAATAAAAAAGAATCAGACCCATATCTTTACCCGGAGCCGAGATCCTGAGACCTCAAAAATCAACGTAAAACGGGGGTAAGGCTCTTTAAAAAAATTTTTCGACCCCTTATCGATTATTTTCAATTTTGATTTTGGGCTCATTCGATAGCCCTTGAAATTTGCTACAAGATAGCAATAGTCTTATTTTTCAGAAAAATTCCTTAGAGAGACACAAGACGATAAGATTTCTAATCGTCATTATAGGGCATTTTATGGGGCAATTAGACGTTTTTTGCTGCATCAGAAGATTAACTGCCCGTATCTTTCTAATCGAATTTTCTATAAAATATCATTAATGCTATCTTGTAGCAAATTTCAAGGGCTATCGAATGAGCCCAAAATCAAAATTGAAAATAATCGATAAGGGGTCGAAAAATTTTTTTAAAGAGCCTTACCCCCGTTTTACGTTGATTTTTGAGGTCTCAGGATCTCGGCTCCGGGTAAAGATATGGGTCTGATTCTTTTTTATTTTTTCATAATATCATTATGTATTTTTGCTAGAATTTTTGTAGATTTTTCCTGAACTTGGAAATATCTTTTTTAAAAAGTAAACTTATAATTTTGTGGAGGCCGAAAACGCAAATTTTGGTCTAAAAATTTTTTAAATAAAAATTCAGCCAAAAATCGAATCACATCTTGTTAGTTATTCATTAAAAGGTGTGTTTCTAAATTTCCAGAAAATTTGGATCACTGGGAGTCAGAAAATCCCGAAAAAAGGGGTGGACTTATAATTATGTGGAGCAGTGTATAAGTCTGAACTTAATATGTACTTATATAAGAGCTACTATAACAGATAACCTCAGTTTAAAATAAGTTTCTTTTAAAATTCGGTTGGAAACAAGGTTGAGGGGCTAGTTAAACGATGCCAAGTATTTAAGATACTCTTCTATGAGATAAATTTTAGGCCCCAAGAGGGTTCAACTTTAAAAATAAAATTAATATTTAATTTAAAAAAGATGGAGAGAATGTGGAGAAAGAAATAAAAAAGCTGGAAAAGTTTTTCAAAGATGAATTAAAAGGTATTGGAGTTCATCAGATAGACACTTCAAGAATAAGCCAGAAGGATGCAGGAAAAATTGCAAAACATGGCGTACGTGTACGTAACTTTTTAGATTCTATATTAAACTTTTAATTTGTTGGAGCGGGGGTAATCAGTAAAATATCTACTAAACATGGCCCTCCTGATCTAGAAAATAGCAGAAATTAATAAAATTGTGAATAAACCCCCAGACATGCTAGTTAAATTTATCCGATAATGATTTTCCGGTACATTGATAAACCCCTTTTAGTAGATAAACACTATCAAACCCTAATAATCTTATTTTTCCTTTAATAAAATATATGTAGATTTCAAATAAAAAATTTTTTAAGAAAATGTTGGAAATCGCAGTAGAATTTGTTAAAAAACTTGAGGAATATATTATTATAAAAAATAGAAATGATCAAGTTATAAAAGATTTAGAAAAATTAAATGGAGAAATAAAAAGTGTTTTGGAAAGCTTTGGCATAAAATTTAACAAATATAATCAAATGGAAGGAAAAGTTCTTCAATACAAACATCTTGAAAAATATATTCCGTCATTGGATGATTTATTTGAATTTTATAATGAACTTCATTCCAAGGCACAATTGCATGATGAACAAGTGATGCGTAGTAAAGGCGGAGACGCTATCCATCTTGCTTCTGGAGCGTTCTGAAAGAAGTTTGATGGGCTTATGGAATGTTCTAACAGAAGTCTGATAGGGGGATTTAATTTTTTAAGAATTTTTGATTGGGGATTTGATTTTTAAAGAAAAATTTTTTGGGTATTTAAAAAAGACAATTTTCTGCTTGACTTTAAAATTAAAAAAAAATTTTCAGTGATATTTTCATTAATTTTTTTTCTCGATTTATTTTTAAAATTTTCAAAATTTTTGGAGTAAACATTGAAGCTTTGAATGTTTAAAAATTATTTTTTAAATATTAATTATTTATTAAAATTATTTATTTTTAATATTATCTAAATCAATCGTCTGTCTATAAAAAAATATGCACTTTATTAAAGTTGGGAATTACGAAAAATTATTTCTTAACGTCTGGCATGAAATAAAACGCCCTTTACATCCGCTTAAAAATTATTAACTAAATAATTATTAGAAAATTATTAAATAATTAATACGAAATTTTAAAAAAATAATAAAATTATCCTCATTAACATCACAATAAAACATATTATCAATTAAATCTATTTTATTCTAATTGAAAAGTGTAATTATTTAGACAACACTTTAGAAGAAAGTTGGAAAAGTTTTGAATAAGGTGGTTTTTGAACTCTTGAACTTAGGGTTAGGGGACCGGTCCAGCCCGGTCCGAAAGATCGAGTCGGGCTTCGAATTATGGCCCAAAAAAAGGAGGTCCGAAAAGATGACTCGAACGTCGGCCCAACTCGGGATCCCCAACCCTATTACTATTAATTAATTATAGAAAGAGTTTAGCAAAAGTTTAGCCACCGGGCAGGATTCGAACCTGCGACCACCTGACAGTTATTGCTAGGCGCTTTCGCTTACCACATACAAGAGCTCTATCTCTGAGCTACCAGGGCATCGTCTAATGCTTACATTATTCAATAATTCTTTCATGGCAAGGACTCGATGAATATTGACAAGGGATATGCTTAATCCACTACTACTTAATTCAGAAAGCAAAGATAAAAAATTATTAAAGATAAAGCAAGTTAGAGATATTAAGAAATTTTAGTCTAGATTCTTGTGTAAAGGCTCTCATTCACTTTGAAGGCTCTCATCTCATAGCCTCTCATTCCCCCTTTTTTAATATTAAATATAATAGTTATTTTTCTTATTTATTTTTATTAATAATTTTTGAAACTTTATTTTAACAGATTGTATTTTCATGCTGAAATTGTTGATACTTTTAATTGTGTTAACAATAATTCAAGGTCTGTCAAAGCTATAACATGAGGGAACCTAGAAACATTTTTTTCAATTTTAAGATTCTAATGGCCTTAAAAATAAACTTGGAGGATTGGCAAGACAGATTTTTTCCAGCAAAGCTAACAATAAAACTTCGAATCCGAGTACAGCAAAGCTTTCTAAAACCGCAAATATGACCATTAATGATGGATATTCTTCTAATGGGCATGTTTTCTTTCCCAAAAAATTTTCTTTAATTTAATAAATTTAATAGAATGCCATTTGCTGCCTCTGGATTACAACAATCATTTAACAAAAACAAAATCACAACCAATACAAAAATAAAAAGCGGGAAGGATATGAGTAGAATAATCACAACAAACATTAAAATACATCCATTTTATGACTATTCAAATCCTGTTTTGGGGTCATATTCAAGTGCATATGTTAGTGCTGGACCCAAATTTAAAGCCTATAAATTTGGGCAGGATAATGACGAATATGAGTATTTAAAACAATCAAAGTTTAGACCTTCCAAATCTTCCAAATCGTTAATTGAGAGATTTATAGAGGAGGATGAAAAGTTAAAATCAGAGGTTATTCAAGTACCGTATTTACTCGATTAATTCACCCGGGGAATTATTTTTTCAACCCATCCGTGGCATGGGGAATTAATAGAGGGTGGGGAAATATTTAAGGGTGGGGAATTAATCGAGTAAATATGGTAGTTTTAAAATTCAAAGAATATAATAATCATTTAATTTATAAAGGATTTGTTGAGAAAAAATGTCGTTCAAGAAATAAAGACTTCACGTCATCTGAATTCGGGCTTAGATTCAGAAAACAGACGGGAAGGATTAGCAATAGCATTAGAATCGAATAATAAAGGAAAAGAAAAGCAACATGACCAAGAAAGTGAGAAAAAAGATTATAAAGTAGTTGCAAATAAAATGGAAAATCAAACGCCTGAAGCGCAAACAATAGTTGAAGAACCAGTAGTATCTGAAGAAAAAGTAATCGAAAATTCTTCGGAAGATAAAAGTGGTGATAGTGAATATTATTCGCTTAATTCAGAATATTATTCGGCAAATTCACAAAGTGAGGAAGAAAGTCCTGAAGAAATTGAACGCAGTTTGACTGCTGATCAAGTAAAAAATGAAAATAAAGGGAAATTAAAGAGATTTTATAGTGAGCAAAGCCCTCCAAGGAAAAAGATGATTGAAGAAAGATTTGAGTTTACCCAAAAACAAGATAGTGTTGGAACGAGTGGCGTTAATAAAATTGAGAAAGGTATTTATAAAGATAATAAAGTTTGCGTAGGTTATGTTATGGTAGTGTGACTAGTATTTAAGCATTATTATACTATAAAAGCGTCACATAATTGTCAGTCCGTGTCTATTTCATCAGTATTATTATTGTATTTCTATTGTTGTAATAAACACATTATTGTATTGCTTCTTTATTGTTGTACAAGGATACAACAGGTTATAGTCATATAGCGGGGTCAATTAATGTGATCTGAGAGATTTTCACAATAGACCATGATCATTCATAATGAGTAGCTTGCTAAAGAAACTTCATAATACGGTCGAACCCCACTGGTATATAACCGCTGGATATGAAAAATCTTCCATTAGAATTATTTTCTAGTAGATAAAATCATTTTCAAGCAGATAAACAATTGTACGAAAAACAAAGTAAGGGGAATCATGAAAACAATACAATTGGTAAAGAAAATATTTCAACAAAAAAATTAAATGAAAATGTAGAAACTGAAGAGAAAAATGAACAAAATGAGGAAGATAAAACAATAATTATTGAAAATCAAAAGGAAAATATTTCGTTAAACAATGATCAGATAAAAAATGATAATGAATTAAATCATTCAAAAATTCAAGAAAATATACAAGTAAATAAAGATAAAAAGATAACAAAAAGGGATAAAAGAAAAAATAAACCGAGCAAAAATCCCTTAGGGGTGAACAAAGCTAACGGGATAAAAACCAAAAGACAGAGTAAAATAAAAGATAAAATTCATAATATTTTGTTTAAAAATGAGGATAAAAATAAAGATGATTTGTATAAAATGATCAAGGAAAATGGCAAAAAAGGTAACCAAAAGGTGACTGGCGCTAAAGCAAGTAACTCGATAAAAAATCAAAGAAAAGGTCATTTAACGTCCGATAAGAGACTTGAAGGAAAAAGGAAAGGAACTACTAAATCAAAAAATAAAGCAAGAAGTAGAAGAATGCTTAAAGGATTTAAGGTTAAAACTAGGGGATTACTTGGAGGATTAAGATTTGGAAAGAGTAAAAAGGGAAAAACGAGTGAAGTAAAGGATTTAAAGAAAGATGGTGTTGTTAGTAAGAATGATCAAGTAAAAGAAAATAATCAAGATGATTTTAAAGTAAAGGAAAATAATAAGGGAAATCAAGTGGAAAACAGTTCAGGTACGTTAATTATGCTAGGGTCATGATAGTTTAGTATAAAAGGCGAAACCTTTTTCTCAGTCGTGATTAGCTTATTATTAGTTCATTATGTCATTCACTGTTAATATTCTATTCCAATGCATAGTCTCGCATATTCTATTGTACTAGTATTTTGGCTAAAGCACATTTGATAGTAAAGTCTTTCTCTTAGTGCTTATTCGGACATACCGCAAGGTAATAAACAACTAATAATCATAATGACAAAAATTTGATTAATATATTTTATTTCATTTAGTTTTAAACAAGAATGAGGTAGGAGAATGTTCTTCTAAAAAAGATGAATGTTCTTCTAAGAATGATGAAAGTTCTTCCAAGAAAGATGAAGGTTCTATTAAGAGTGATGAAGGTTCCTCTAAGAAAGCTGAAAGTTCTTCCAAGAAAGATGAAGATTCTTCCAATAAAGATGAGATAAGCAAAGTGATTGAAGAAGTTAAAATCGTACTACAAAATAATATTGTTGATACAATACAAGAAGAAGAGGTTAATTAAAAAATTGACATAAAAATTTATCAAAATTTAAGGAAATTGAGTCTGTTGAAGAACTAGTTCCAAAACCGAGTGAAGAAAAAATAGCAAAAAACGAGCGGTTTAATAAATTATTAGAAGAATCTTCTCCCAAAACAATTCCATTTTCAGCATCTCCTTTTAGACACATCAAATGTAAATTTTGATTTTTAAGATTATTATAAGTAAAAAGCAAATTTTGAATATTTCAGCAGCCTCAAACACAATTTGGGCTGAATACGAATTCTCACCTTCACTGGCTATTAAAGAGGCAGACATGCTTTCGATTGTGCCTCTTGTATGTTTTTAATTGAAAGAGGATTAAAATAAAATTTTAAATTTTTAGCTCTTCAAAACTTTCGAAGCCAAAAAGCATAATAATAAGCATACGTCTTCAATACCAGAAAATGTGAAAAAGGAGAAAAAAATACTTCATTTTCACCCACAAAAATTTTTCTTAGGTACAGTATTGAAGCAGTACGTATAATAATTTTTAGTGTATAAAAAATTTCCAAAAATTCAGGGCTTTTAGAAAAGGTCACAAAGACAATATATCATTTGAACAACTCGAAGAATTTTTCAAAAATGTCGAAATGGAAAATTGGGATGAAATTAAAGACACTATGGATATGGACAAAATAGAAATGTTATTTGATTTATATACAGACTTTGAAAAATTAAAAGAAAGAGATATTGAAATACATGTAAATTATTTTTTAAGTAAAATATATCCTTAAAAAAATTTCAATTTAGGTAGAGAAATATAAAGAACTAAATAAAGAACAAATAAAAGAATATCCTTTAGAAGACCAATATTTTTGGTTAATTATTAAATCGGACGGTGAAAAGAGTTTTAGAAAAATTTTGGAGAAAAAATTTGTTGATGAGAAAAAGGTTTTTAAATAAATTTTTGATAAATAAAAAAATTTTTTTTAGTTAGAAGACGCTAAAAATGATATAGAAAAATTAAAGTTAGAATTAAAAATGCCCCTATTTGAGGAGAATGAAAAAGAATTTGTTGAGAAATTAATTAAGACTGTTTTGCATATTATTAATCTTTTAAATTGGGTTAGTCCATAGTGAATTAATGCGGTCGGATCTCATTACAAGTACATAAAAGTTTCTTATAATGAAATGTTTATTAAAGGGTATTCCTAGTTGCCAACCAATTTTAGAAAAGAAATTTTGAATTTTAATGTATCAGAAATTGTCCTCCCATATTTAAAAACGTAAGGCGAAAGAAATCAGAAGCGGAAGATATCCCATAAAGTTCATGCTGTAGAAAAATTCATTGGATGGGAGATGGTGCCAAGCCGAAGCACAACCGATTGTGCCACCATCCAACCCAACGATGTGTTATCTATTTTCATTTATATTCTTTCTGCAAGTGCGGATACAACAGATCTTATCCCATTTGTGTCTCATAGTGAGGTCCGATTGTATTTTTATTTTAAAAAATACAAATTTCTTGGCCTAATTTTAATTTTTTTTAGAAATCAGGAGACAAGAGACAATTTAATAGTTTAGACTTGAACAATCTTCCAGATTATTTAAAAAGGAAAAATCAAAATAGTGAATTAAAATATAAAGATATAGACATAGCCCATTTAATTATAATTTTGTTGAGAAATAAAATTGAAGGTCAAAGCGAAAATGTTTTGTATAGTCAATTAAAGAATTTAAAAAATAAATTTTATGAAAGTAGAATGTTGTGAGTTGAACTAATTTTTAAATTTAAATTTAGGAGCTATACCTTTCGTTCCAAAAACATATCTGGCATTTTGTTTATTATTTTTTGAATTTGCGATATGACTAGAGATCAGAATTTTGAAAAAAACCGTGATCGTGAAACGTGAAATTGTAGCAGAGGGAACCCGGTCGGTACCTGGAACCGGGTCCCGATCCCGTTCCGGTCTCTAGTTATGACCCCGCTTACGTAAATGATCACAAACCGATACTTTATCACACGAAAAACACAATGAATGTTTTAACTTTTGTCTGGCTTTTATACTAAACTGTTTAAGGCTCTCACCCAGTCACAACAATTTGTTTGTGGACTTGTCTCTTTCCCTATTTTGTAGTAAACCATCACTAAATAGTAGTCTGTTTTTATATTTGTTTAGCCGTAAAACTACATAATATATAAAAATACGTCTATAATTTAATTTAAGATACGAAAACTATAAAAAGCACGCTGAAAGGATTGATGAAATTTACAAAGATTTTGGAACAAACGAAGAAGCTGGTATCATTGATAAAATCAATTCGTTAAAAAAGCAACTTCAAGAAGTTCAAAAAGAGTCAGAAATATTCAAGTGGCTTGGCTTTTATTTAGCTGAAACCGATGTTGATAAAAGGTGTAATGATAGAATAAAAGGATTCAAGGCACTCGAAGATGGTTTTACACAACTTTTAACTGCAAATAAAGAAATGGAAAATCAAAAGGTAGATTATAGAAAGAGTTTAGCAAAGGTTTAGCCACCGGGCAGGATTGGAACCTGCGACCTCCTCGTAGTCATTGCATCATTCGCTCACCACATACAGGATCTCTACGACTGAGCTACAGGGCCTCGACTAATGTTGTCTTTTCCCTTTTTAGATGCTTAACTTGCGGTAGATCGTTTGAATCATACTTACATTATCATACTATAATTATTTTTTTATTTTAATGTAGACTAGTAGAGAATTGAATCAAGTAATGGAAAAAGCTATAGAAGACACGAACAAATATAATGAAATTGAGGAAGCTATATCCGAGTTAATTTTGGAAGAAGAGAAGGAATTTGTAAAGCAATTGGCGGCGTGGAATGGAAGGGCACACATAAGGAAGAATAATTCAAAAACTGGAAGTGCAGGAATGGCAACGGTTCATGCAGGATCTCCTCCACCCCCTCCACCACCACCAGGAAACGGAAGCAATAAAGTTATTCCAAAGCCGCCTCGACCACCGTCTCCACCTCCCCCGCCTCCATTATCAAAGACTAAAGCTAATCAAGGAAGTCCAAAACAACCGCCATCTCCGCCTCCACCTCCGCCACCCATGCCTAAAGCTAGTCATGGAATTCCAAAACCTCCGCGACCACCACAGAAACAAGAAAGTAAAGGAGTTCCTCTACCACCACCGCCGCCTCTTCCACCAACTCATTCATCTCCGACTATAAAAAAGCCTAATTTATATGTAAGCTTTATTTGGTTACTGTATCTTCTATACACTAAATTAATTTTAGCAAAACACTCCTAATTTTAACGAAACTAGTTCTTCTAAGGGTGAAGTAAGTGAATCGAAAAACACAAATATTGAGGAAAATATGGATGATATTAGAAATGTTGACAAGAAAGAAATTTTGTCCAGAAATCTTGAAAAAAGGCGTCATTATATGCAATCTGATGAAGACGACTAAAGTTTTGGACAATTTTGATAAATTTTTATTTTTTCTAGAATTTATTTTTATTCAAGTTAGAGTTTCTAACGGATTGAAAAACAGATTTTATATGTCCCGTTGACATTTCCCCAATGCGATAATCAAAAAAGATTTAAACAATTTCAATTTATATTACATGTTATTTAATCATGTGTAGGATACATGCTATTTGTTTGTATCGTATTTCCATTTATAAACATATTTTTTACTGCTATAAATTTTCCAAATAAATGTTTTCTTGTTTCTCCATTGGCCCAAAGCAATAGCCAAGACGGTAAAACAATTGTGCTTATATCAGATACAAGAAAATTTTGATTGAAAACCGCCTAAAATTTTTCTTTTGGATAATTCCCAATACATATGATCTTACCAAGAAAAAATTTTGGCATTCATCATAGGAAAGTAATGAAGTGCCACTTATTGAAATCCTAACAGCGATGTAGATTAAGGTCTAAAATTGGATTATAAAGATTAAAATGTGAAAATAAATATTGGGTCCTCGATCTGTCCTCGATAAATCTGATAGATGAATTTAAACATAGTCATTGAATTAGGGCATTATTAGTTGGTCAAGCTTTTAGTTTTCTATTTTAAAGTTCGGACATGTTAGGTAGGTGTGGATCTAGTATCAAAGCAGGCATTAGCATTAGTTCGGCACCATAGACTATTCGGCATATAGCCGACTGGCCACCGTCCTTCGTTATCCCCGCTTATTGCTACCCTCGTTATCTTGTTGCTACCCTCGTTATCTTGAAAAAAATATTAAGAATTTTATTTACCGTCGTAATAGAAATAAGTAGCTGACCAACAAACGTCCAAAAGGCGTAAAGTGTCAGTCTCTTTTCTATAATCCGTTGCAATCCGTTCGAAGTTGTTTTATTTGTTTGGGGTTGTACTTTAGTTTTGTAGACAAACAATGTAGCTATATTTATAATTAAACAGATAAACATGAAAATAACACAGGAATAGGCTGCATCTTCTGTAGGGTTGATCTCGCCTGGCTTTATAGTAACCTCATATATAGTTACAGTTTGATTGTCAGCCTGTAGGCGGGCAATAAAGGGTTCAAATAAAATTTGTACGGTTCGGCTTAATGGAAGAACAAAAATAAGTAGCATACTGAGTGGCAGACAGCGTCTCCATGCCTAAAATGGAAAAAATCTTAGTTTTTAAGATCAGAGTATTTTTGACCCTTTCATAAGAAAATGGCCATAAAATTGAAGAAAGTCTATTCAGCAATTGTAAAGTGGTGGCTATATTTTCGCCGTGTATGCAATAATAACCAAAGAAGAATATTATCGCTAATACCCATGAAGGTAGTTGAAGAAAAAGATTTGTGAACAACCCAACCTTTCCAAAACGTGGTCCAAAGGAGATAATGAAGTTGAGAATATTCTAAAATTTATTTAGATTTATTTTTCCCATGAGGGCTATCAAATCCTAATCTAATTCAATTACCAAGATTGATTTTGCAATAAGTAATTGAAAAAAGCTGGAATTAAATTCCTTCCATTTTGTAATAATTATTATAACTTCAAATAAATACAAAATAGCAGAAGGAACTCCAATCACTACAGAAATTACAAACGGCAAATATACTGTATTTGCCAAAAATACAATTGGTGCTGACAGGAAGAAGCCCATTGAGTGAATAAAATCGGAAAATTATCAGAGCAATCTGAACTTTAATTTTTTAATGAATAGTCTCTTGAGTAATGTCTAAGTTTCGGATCTATCGTAAGTAACACCAAACTAATTTCAAGAACAGTTTATCATACACTGTGTTTCAAAAGTATACGCGCACCTAAATTTTTCGATTTTTCTGTCATTATACTTAAGTCAATATCTTCTAAATTTTTTATAAGATGTAAATTAACTAAACAAGAAGATCTATAAACAATTTAGCTAAAAAATTCAGTAATTTATTTTTATTTTTAATTTTTTTCCAAAATAGGGTGTTTCATAAGTATACGCGCACTTTTATAACTAAAGATTTTTGACATTAGGGATGGCTCGAAAAATCCACAAAAATTTCAGCAAACATATCAAGTGATATCGAAACAAAATACAAAAGAAATGAAGTTCCAGTCACGTCCCATCATCGAGATCTCAAAACCCGAAAATCAACGGAAAACCGGGGTAAGCGTCTTTAAAAAATATTTTCGACCCCTTAAAGGCCGTATTAAATTTTTATTTCATACTTTTCTGAAAGCTCATTAAATTTTCTATAATATCACTCATCTTCTTTTTTCGTAAAAAAATCCTTGATTGAGTTGTGAAGCATTGAACATTCAAAGTGATAAATATGGGGGTAAATTCGATGATTTTTAGGTTCAGTGTATTAAACACTGATTATCTCGAAAGTCAATTTTTTGTGTATAATAATTTCAACGTTTTTTTGTAGCAAATTTAATGGGCTTTCAGAAAAGTATTAAATAAAAATTTAATACGGCCTTTAAGGGGTCGAAAATATTTTTTAAAGACGCTTACCCCGGTTTTCCGTTGATTTTCGGGTTTTGAGATCTCGATGATGGGACGTGACTGGAACTTCATTTCTTTTGTATTTTGTTTCGATATCACTTGATATGTTTGCTGAAATTTTTGTGGATTTTTCGAGCCATCCCTAATGTCAAAAATCTTTAGTTATAAAAGTGCGCGTATACTTATGAAACACCCTATTTTGGAAAAAAATTAAAAATAAAAATAAATTACTGAATTTTTTAGCTAAATTGTTTATAGATCTTCTTGTTTAGTTAATTTACATCTTATAAAAAATTTAGAAGATATTGACTTAAGTATAATGACAGAAAAATCGAAAAATTTAGGTGCGCGTATACTTTTGAAACACAGTGTATGAATAGATCAGTGGTTGGAATTTTAAAATTTGCTCGTACTTGTACTTTCGTACAGGCCCTAATTTTTCCTCGTACTCGTACCTGGCCATTTTTTACTAATACTCGTCTTAATTTAAGGTACGAATTGGTAATTATTTCCCCCCCCCTTACCCAGTCAGCAATTCAGTTGAAGTACGAAATGGTCAGTCATTTTTTCCTTAGATAATTTTAAAAAATTTGCCTATGTTCACATTCATTAGCCTACGAAAGTTGGTACGAGCTTTCAACCACTGGATTAGTTACATTAATGGACAAGTGGAATAATTAGAAAGGCACGGCTGTGCCATGCAAGATTTTATAAAACAAATATTTAAATTGAAAGTGCCAAAACCAATTAGTAAACAAATTTATTATTAAAATAAAAAATTTTAAACTTGGACAGATGGAATAAAAAGTTAATGGAAATTTGTGTAAATTTAATTAAAATAATAAAATTATTCAATTAAAAACCTCAATAAACGATAAATATTTACTGGCATTAAGTAAATAATTTATTTAATTATATGTCAAAGTCTTTATTAAATATTGAAATTTAATTATAAAGATTTTGATAAACAAGTTTTTTGAGCTGCTGAAATACTCAAAAGGGTTGAGCGGAAGAGAAAATATTTTAAAAAACGCAAAATTAAAAGGGTTGTCGGTTCCTGGAAATTCTTCAGCTACTATCCGAAACGGAACTGAAGACCGAAAAATCATTGGTTCTTCGGTTCGGTTCGGTCCAGAACCGACAACCCTATTTAATATAATTTAAAGTTAAAAATGTCCTGAATGTGACATCTTTCCAATAAGTGTCTATCTTTCTAACAAACTTGAACTTTTAGAGCGTTTCCAACAATTATATGATCTTTCAACTCTTCAAGCTTAATCTCTTTATGACCAGATTCAAGTTGACTATTTTCGTCTGGTTTTGCCAGCCAGAATTCTGTTATACCTTCTGTCTTGAATAAATCGTAACTGAAATATGTCACTTGTTTGAACAACATCCTCCTTTCATCCTCCTTTTTTGATTATAGACATTTATTCTCCTTCTGGAGAGGGTAATTATTGGATACGGTAACTAAATCGAGCAATTTTTAAATTTTTAGATATTTACCTAATTTTTTCAAGAAAATATTAATCATCAATTTAAATCTAATTTTATTAATTTTTTTTAATTTTTTGAAAACCATTTTTAAAACTTTTTTCAAAAAATTATTTCCTTATACATTTTTTAAACGTAATATTTCGAATACGTACATAGTATAGCTTTTTTAACTATAAATATATGTAATTTAAAATTAAATTAAGTAAAAAAATTCTTCAAAGAATTAAATTTATTAAATTAAATACCAACTAAAATACCCAAAAATAAAATTATTTGTCACGCAATACCCATTCTTTCAAAAAAATTTTATGAATATTTTTAAAATATCAAAATTTTTCTTCTATTTAATTTTTATTTAATATTTCATATTTAGATATTTTTTATAAGAAAATTATTTAGAAATAATAAATTTTTTTATTGTTAAAAATACAAAATTAGAAGGCTCGACATTAATTCAATTTATTTCTCCTTATTAATTTTTTACCTTCGGGTTTATCGAAGCGGATAAATTTAATAAGAAAGGCTTAGACAAATTAAATTATTAATCTAAATTTTTATATAAATAAAAATATTTTTAATTATCTACAGTTTTCTAAAAATAATTTCCGTTAGATTATATTTTCATTAGTCATAGGAAATAACTTACATTCAGAAATAACTTTACGTTAATAAAAGATTTTCATAAGGCTAAATAAATTCTTGCCTCCATTTTTACTATTTGCTAGGACCTATATCCACTGCTAGGACTTTTAGGGTAGCCCTTTCCTTCATTTAGGGTAGCTGGAGTCGATTGGTGCCGAATTCAAAAAGCCTAACTGATTGAAAAGCCTGTTTGACTCTCCAATTCTATGAAATTATATCACCTCTCTTATGAAGAGGTAGGGGTTTATATGAAAAGGGAATCAATTTCTCTCCACTCTCTTGGAGGGAGAGTCCACCCCTCACCCTCTTCTGACTCTCCTCTCCTATGAACCTTGCATTTGACAAAATATAGCTCTCAGATATACCGAGGATTCAGTCCGCAACTATCCTTCCCGTTTAAATTAAAAATTATTTTCAGCTAAATATTAATGGAAAATCCTTCTCAATCATTTAATAATTCTTCATCCCCACTAATTCCTCAATCATCTAATAATAATTCAAATATTATTTCCTGTATATTCATTTGGTTTGAATTAATAATATTACACCCAAGTATACTAATAGTTTCGAATATTAACCTTTTTGTGCTCTTAACTACAAAAGTTCTTCATCCAAATATGTCTGTAATATTAATTGTTCAAAGCATTTCGATTATTGGATTTGAGACATTTCGAATTATCGGAATAATAGAGGAACTAATAGTCTGTGATATATATTATTCCGGTTCTATTGTTACTCAAGTAAGGAAATTTTGATTAATTTGGTTAAAACGAATAGTGTAATAGAGGCAGGATTTGATAAGCATGGATAAAAAGCTTCTAGTCTAGCTCACAAAATAAAAAGCTTCTAGTCTAGCTTACAAAATCAAGTATAAGAATAATTCATCTGTTAGGATTTGAAACGCCTGAGAAGGGTTATAAGAGAGAAGAAAATGGTGGGCAAAGTTGGCGCCACATCCAGCCTATGTAGGCATACTAAAAATTTTTCTAAGAATATCCTTCAATGAGAAGATTAACGACAAGACTCTTAAAATCATAAAAGAATAAAATCTTTAATTATGATTAAAACATTTTTTAGAAATTTGGATTTTTCTTTGTGCTTATACGGAATTTTGTGGGCCATATTTTACTCATTGAACGTCTCCTAGCCACATGCTTTTACAAATGTTATGAGCATTACCGAAAGGCTCATTTTTCTGTTGCTTGGATTACAATCGTGGTAATTGCTTTGTAAATCTATTCCTAATTATAATAACTTAAAAAGGTGTTATTATCCATATTAAATAGTATTTCATCTATGAAATCAAACGACGTAACATTTACTAACATCATAACAAGCATATTAATGGTTATGCTTAATTTAATCGAATTTTTGGTAATTTTTCTTATTAAGAATTTTTTAAATATTATTTTAAATTAAAAGACAATACTGGCAATTGGTTTCTACAATAAATACAAATATAATAATCATTTGCCTCAAGGAAATAATTATTCTCTAAGTGAAAAATATCAGGTGATTTTTTAAAATAAATGCTTAATATCTGAAGGAGGATCTCACTATTCTGTCATGCGTGGAAGGGAGCGGGGAGAGACCTAGCTCGTTCATCGAGGAATTCCCTTCCTCGGGGACAGGGGTTTAAAAAAGGGACAGATGGGTGGTTTTAGGGTCTTAATCTCGTTTAAATTTAACGCAAGATTAATTGAGGTTGAATTATCCTTTTATCTATTAATTACTAAAATATTATGAAACCTTAAAATATTATAAAAATTATTTTTAAAAGCTTTCCGAAAATATTCGCACAAGCAAACAATTAATTCCTGCATTTTTTTGTCACTGTTTCAACGGATGTGTTATGCTATTTTTTACAATTTTTATGTATTTTGGATTGTTTGGTCATCAACAATTGGGAATAGCAATACAAGCAGGGTTTATAATATCTTCACTTGTTGACTTTATCATTGAGCTTACAGTAATAACGTAAATAAATTTTATAAAATTTTAAAATTAAAAAAAATTTTTTTCAAGTCATCATCCACAATTGAGAAAACGTTTCCTAATAATTTTGGCAAAAACATTTTTATTTAAATGTCTAAATAATAAAGTAGCAGAAGGTGAAACAAAACAAATTGAGGAAGCACAAAGGAGTAATTCTGGGAGACTTGTAAAAAATAAAGGAAATTCGGAAAGTCATTTTAATATGTTAAAAACTGCGTGGCAATGAAGATAAAATAATTAAAATAATAATGGATTTTTATTATAAATAATTAATTTTTATTTTATAATCATCAAATAATTTATAGATAATTTAATTTTTATTAATATCACAATTAAATTTATCAATATCCACTTTGCCTGTATTTACCATTTCTTTGTGGAAGCGAGCCTGGAATTTATAATATAAATTAATTAATTAGTTTAAAAATTGCCTGAGGCCAATTCTGATAGAATGTACTATTCAATCTTTTCAATCCCTTATCTACCAAAGTTCTACTTCTCATCTCTTCATGCCAACAAAGAACGGCCCCAAAATCAAAATCAGCTTTAATTTTATTTGCAAAAAGGCAATTATTATCTCGCAAATTGGCTGACTTTATAAAAATATTAATAAAAATAATATTAAATTACCAAATCCTCCAGGCCAAAAATGCAAAGACTATGACGGTTATATCCGCTAGGGCATATTGTGTTCGAATCTTCTACCCAAATAGAAAATCTAAATTAGAACTGCTGAAATTATTACCCTGGATAATTATTGTTTCAATCTCTCACATGAGGAGGTGATTATTTGGGAGGGTGTGCTGGATTTGGGATATATCTCTATCTAACCGAGGCGAAATTGATTTATTTTTTGATATTAAGTCTTAAATTGTTCGAAAATTTAGCTGATCATTATTTTTAAATATTTTTAATGCATGGGGTAAAGAAGGAAATAAACTAGGGTGTAATTATTAGAGAGGGTAATTAATTGAGAGAGAGTAATTATTTCAGCATTTACGGTATATTAATGTTAATCTCATTTATTATCGGCAGTAATAAGGTCCATATTTTTTTAATTTTAAATTAAGTTCCAGAGAAGAAATAAAATATTTTTAAAATATACTAACCTACTAAAATATGGTGTATAAATATTTTTATCAAGGCATTTATGCGTAAAAGCATTGGGTGCTCTTAACACATCGGTTGCCACTAATGTTTGAAAAAATAGTTCATCACAAGCATATTCCCCGCTTAAATTTAATGATTAAATTGAATTAAGTGTTAAATACCAGTTATTTATTTGATGAAGCAATTGAGTTAAATCAAGTTTTTGTACTATAAAATCAACAAAACTGCGTGCCAAACTAGCTTGTACAAGTCCTTTCGATATTTTTAAAGATAAGGGTTTTCCGTTTGTATCAACTTGATTATTTAATTTTTCTTTAAAATTTTAATTATTTTAAATATTATTTTGTAAATTCTAACCATCTCTAAATAATTTTAAATCTTTAAAAGTCTAATTAAATTTTTTGCTGACATTTTTAATAAGCTCTTCTTGATCTAGTTGATATTGAACATCATTAGCCCCACCCAACCATTTTAATATTTGGATAATTTCCTCATTTGTTTTTATCTGTATATCATCATTTTGAAGTGTAAAAACATATTCCCATTTATATTTCTTTTTAGATAATTCCTCCAAACATGACATGAATGCTGTTCCCATATGAACGCCTTAATCCATAGCAATTTACATATTAAAAATTTTTATTGTTTCTGGGCTAGTTAATGTTTTCTGAGCATGTTTGAGATACGGAGCTAAAGTTATCTGAAATCGGAAATTTTTCCAAAATTTTGAAATCGGAAATCGGAAGGAGGGGGTCATATATCTTTTTCCTTGTATATCATATGTACTTATAAAATTCCGGAAACGTAGATATTTTCCGGAAATATACTATGATTCAAGAAGCATATAAGTATATTTTTCAGGAAATATATTAAAATTCAGAAACATTCATATGTATTTTCGCAAATATTATAATATTCCGGAAACATATTCTTCAGGAAATAAAAGAATATCTGAACAAATATAATTCTCGAATTACAATAAAATTTGCGAAACAATCATTTTCAGGAATATTCTAAAATTCCGAAGACAGATTACCTACCATCACTCTCTACAGGAAATCTTTTTGTTGGAACAATAACATTAGAGAAGCACTTAGCTAATGCCTTTATTCTTTTAAAAAAATTATCTCCAATTTTCTTGTCAACAGCAAAACAATACCAATTTTGGGGATGATAATTTGTGGCAAATTCTGCTTCCAAAAATCTATAACTCTTTAATGATTTTAATTAATTTTTTAAAAATTTTTAAAAATTACTCCATAAACAATTCTAGCATAAGCCAATGGATATTTCTCTTCTTCAGTGGATAAAGGCTTTTCCAAGAAATAATTTCTTTCTTTAATTGATCTACAATCCATTAATAAATTTTCTGGATCTTTATATGTTAATCTAGATTTTGCTTCGAGTTTTATATAATCCTCTTCCCCTTTAATTATTGTTTTGCAGTCTATACGTTCCTAAAAATTTTTCTTCTTTAAAAAATTTATCAATAATTAGAGATCGGACAAACGGCAAAATCAAATATCAAATCAAGTAATTGATATTTGAAAATATTTGAAAAAAATTGATCAAAAGTATCAAATATTTGATCAAATATCAAATTTCTTTTAAATTTTGGAATTACATATGAATTTCATTATTAATGGAATAATTAACATAATAATGACTAAATAACATTTATGAATCAATATTTGTAATGAATTAATAGATTAAGAAAGATAACTTGGGATTAACAGGGATTAAGGTGATTTGAGATAACATGAAATTTAGGGATTAAGTATTTTCAAATCGTGGGCCTGAAAGTATATTGGTGGTTAAAGTGAGAGATTAATTCCCAGATATCACTTTTCTCAGATATTGATCACCATATATCACGCTTAATCACATCCGATATCCATCCAAATCCACAGATATCCCTCCAAGCCCCAGATATCACTATTAATCATCAGATATTATCCTTATATAAGCTATTATTCTCAAAGATATCTCTCTAAATCACCCTATATCCGCTCTGATCAAATGAAATCCCTTCAAATTACCCTATATCCCTTTTAATCCCCCGATACTATCCTAATCCTCATATATCCCTTTTAATTCACATATATCTCTCTCAATCCCCTGATATCCCTTCTAATCCCCAAAATCTCTCGATATCCATCCAAATCCTCATATATCCCTTTTAATTCTCATATATCCCTCTCAATCCTCTGATATCCCTTCTAATCCACAAAATCTATCAAAATCCTTCGATATCCTCCATATACCTCTATATTCACAAGATACAAAGAAGAAATTTTTTAATTTTTAAGACGCTATAGGAGAGGAACTTAAGCGCCATTTTTTAACCAAAAATTGAATTTTTGGGAAAATCAAATAATTTTCAAATTATTTGATGTTTAATCAAATATTTGATTTTCCGACGTCAAATATTTGTTTGGTCCGATCTCTATTTATAAGCAACTTTGTTATGTCCAATTTCATTTTTGATTGAATTCCAAATTTTTTCATTAATTTTTTCCAAATCTCCGTTTTTTAAATTATTTTTCGATTCGTTTTCCTTCTTTGTTTCAGTTATAACAATTTGAGGAAGAAGCACTTGAGAAGAAGTTTGCTGAATCCATACCCAGTGTAGAGCCCAGGATAATAGAATATGAGGGAATACTAATTGATTATTGTTGTTAGTAGTCCGGCCGGACAATATTCACCGCTCACTCCTTAAGAGCGATTAAACGGGCGACGACTAATTCCTCCGATCGGGCAATAAATATATTAATTCACTTTTATTATTAACTGACTAACAAGCTGACTGATTGAATGACTGATCGCTTCCTTCTCTTATTCCTAGGATTATATTGGTTATGGATAGGCGGGGTCGCTGGGAAAGTTTTATTTAATATTTCACAATTCTATTTCCGCCTTACACCTCCAACCCCGGGGAAGACCGTCCCTGGTCTTTACCTGACCATTCCACTCCTTGAATGTTCGTTCCATTGTCAATTCCATTCCCTGTTTTATTTTTATCTTTGACCGAGGTCACTTTTTATTTTTAATTTAAATTAAATCTCTACCTCTTCTGTTTTGTCCGCCTCGCATTTTCTTCAAACACGTCTGCACTCACGCGCCAAGTGTCCTTTGCCTCCACACTGATAACACCTCACAGCTATTGGTGGCCACCGTTGTTCGGTTCACCTTTCTTCTGCACGTTGTTCTGGTTGTTGCACGCCTTCCAATTTGAGTCTCAACCTGTCTGATTGCACGGATCGTCCCTGTAAGTCCTTTAAAACTCCGTTGAAGCCCCTAGCTCTTTTTGGGAGATCCATCACATCTAAGTATCTGCTGTCTACTATTGGGGTGAACATTTCCGCTTGCTGCATAAACCTGCGCCATACTTCGCCTTCTTTAATTGCATCAAAGTACTAGCTACTAGCTATGCATCATTCTCACCCTTCAATTTTAAGTTTAAGTCTATTCGATTGCACTCCATATACACATTAAAGCTGTTCACTTTCTCTCTCATCCATGCGGTCGATCGTCCCTGATCGTCACAGAATCGCGTATCCAAGCAGGATTATCAAAGCTCAATAGGTCGCCTCCATTTAAGACGTTTCTTCTCTTCTCCAATTACAATTAAGGCTGCTTCAATAAGGTCCCCAACTGAGTTTATTTTTTCTAAAGTATGGCGTTTGGTTATTCTACAAATTCTTGGAATGGTTGAGACTGCTGAAAAACGCCATTCACCCTCATACGCACGTGCTGATCTGGCTATTTTCGAGTTTGACTTTGCTAGTACTTCAGTTCCTAATCGGAAATTACATCCCGGAGGTAATATATAGTTCGGGCCAATTAACCATCCTTCTTCAATTGGTGCTAATGCTATGTCAATAAACATTCCCTTCTTTAAGTTGTCCCAATCAACTTCTACACACTGACGTTTATAAAGGACCGAAGTCCGCTCCATTCCAAAAGCAATAACTCGAATTGAACCCGTCTTTCTATCTTTTCCCCTTCTCTTAGTTTCTACAACAAACCCTGTTTTCAATCTAAACTCCTGTATTGCAACCATTTCTATTTCAGTCGCCGTAGCTTGCCAATTAATATTGCCTTGATAGAACCATGTATTTTCATTCAAGGTTTGGAATTTGTCAGTACGACGCTGGAATTTAGTAATATAAATGTCATCTCCGACACACGCATCTTTCGCGCCTTCATTGTTCATTTCGACTAGAGCACTCCACGGAATTTCCATGAATAGAGGCCACCCATCTTCTTTGTTCGGGGATGTAGACACTGCAATAAGTCTGGCTTCTTGAAGTTGGGATATAACATAATGTTTTCCTTTACTTTTTACTTCTGTAAACTTATCTTTATTTTGAGCCGAGACTCCACTAAGCCCACTAGTTCCGACGGCTTGTGATTCATTTTCTTCTCTCCACGAATTACATGCTTCCTCCCATTTATCCAGAGCTTCTTTCAGTATTTCTTCATCTTCCGTATCTTCATTTTCGGCCTCCAGTACAAAATTCTCCAAACTATCCGTAATTCTCTGTGGATCAATGACATTCACAACTTCCAAAAGTTTTTCTTCACTTGACATTTTATTTTGAACCGAAGTTACTTTGTTATCTGAAATGATAAGATTTTTTAAAGAGATTTCTCTCTCCTTTTCACTTTTTGAATGGACCGAAGTCCCAACGTTTTTCTCGCTCTCACACAAATTATTTTGGACCGAAGTCCCTAATGAAGCTGTTGACGAGGATCCAATTCCTTGCATTGCTGCTTCAAATACTTTAGTTTTAGTTGCTTTTATTTTAAGATTTTTAGACATTATCTTTTCTAAAATAAAAAAAATTTTATTTTAATTAAATTAATTTTTTTTGTGAATTAAAATTAAAATCGCGTAAAAAAAAATTAAATGTGTGAGAGTAAAATGATAAAGTTTGGGAGAAATGATTGTGAAAGAGATTAAAAATAATTAGAATTATATTTAAGAGAGTGAGTTTATTCTATTGAGAGCCTTCTGGCTTTGGGATTCCTACGGAGGTTGTACCTTTTACTATTGGGTTCCCTACTATTATTTTCTTCTGAACAATTCTCATCCATTGGAGTGGTTTTGATTGATTCCTGGCTGTTTGCGCCATTAATTGCTTTTTCCTCTTCCTGGCTTAGTTCTGGGACTGTTACTATCGGTGGTAAGTCTTCAAAGCACTTCTTTAACTGGTTTATGTGAACAACCTTAGGTATCGCACTTGGAGCATTACAACTAACTATGGTTACGTAAATTCCATCTATTTTTACAACCCTAAACACACCTTTCCAGGGCATGTGAAATTTTTCGAGGTACCTATTTTGCCACAATAATTCCTCAATAATACTCTGTCACCAACAGTTACTGTTGGGTTTCTTGTCAACTTATCGTACTGGGCTTTTGACTTTAATTGGGCTTCCTTATTTGCTTCGTCCGCGGCTTCCCATGCTTTTCTCAACGAGACTACTAGTTTTTGTTTGAATTCAGATAAATCAGTTAAGGCTATTGGGTCGTGAACTCTGGGATCGAGAATTTGGTCTACACAGAAAATTGGATCTCTACCGAACATTAAAAAGAAGGGTGTTTCTCCTGTTGAAGCGTGAATTGATGTGTTATAGCAAAAGCTGGCTATGTCAACAAATTCATCAAAGTCAGGTTGTTCCTTATTTATATACTTGGCAAGAATGTTATGGAATGTTCTAAAAGAGCGTTCAGTGACTGCATTGCCTTGGGACCAGTGTGGGATTGCATAACTCTTATTTATATACAACATGGAGCAGAAATTTCTGAAAAATTCGCTAGTGAATGCCGTGGCATTATCTGTAATCAGTTCAATACATCCGCCAAATCTTAGATAGCAATTTGTGAGGAAGGCTTTTGCTAGCGTAAGTGCTTTTGCATCGGGGACAGGCACTGAGATCACATATTTTGTGAACCAACAAATAATGTTCATTATATATTTGTTTCCATTTTGTGTCATCGGAAAGGGACCCGCTAAGTCAATTCCTACTTTAGCAAAGAGTGTATTTGGATGAGCCATCTGCATTTCAGCTCTGTAAGGAGGATTTGGAGAGTGCCGAAGCTGACAAGTTATACAATTGCGCGTCCAAGTGAGTATATCTGCATGCATCCTGTGCCAAAAATATTTTCTGCATTTCTTTAGTGTCTTTTTCATACTCATGTGTCCTCCGCCCAGGTGCGAGGAGTGAAATGATTCAAAGATTAATGCTCTAAGGGAGACTGGTACAAATATTCTGGGATACAAGTTCGGTAATTTATGGCAAAGTATGTCACCCATCATTTGAAGATTTTCTGCTGATACTACAAATTTTT